GTGGGTCGCTCGCCATGCGACCCCAGTCCGAACTCGAGCTGCACAGATGCAAACATCGGCGTGCGCACTCAGGAGCAGCATGTGCTCCCCGCGCTGTCAAAACCTTCGGGGGTCCCGCCCAAAAATCAAGACCGGGGACACCAGGGCTGGCTGAAGAGGAGGAGGACATCTACGTATACATATCCACTGCTCCATGGCCAGGCCCATCCTGTACCCGGCGGCGTTGTATACGCCACTCCCTCCTGGCTGGGCCAGGAGGGCGTGTGCACAGCTCCTGGGTTCAGGATGGGCCTGCCCAGGGAGCTATGGAGATGTATAGATCTCGTCGCCCAGGGAGCAGTGGATATGAATAGAGGAGGAGGAAGAGAGGAGGAGGAGGAGGAGGAGGAGGAGGAGGAGGAGGAGGAGGAGGAGGAAAAGAGGAGGAGGAGGAGGAGGAGGAGGAGAAAAGGAGGAGGAACATCCCAGAAACTGTAAGCCAGGTAGTGGGAGTTGCTAAAGACCAAGCCAATCTCCGCAATGTGGCAACAACTATGGATGCTGTGCCGCGCAAGTCACCCCAAGGCGTCTCGGCAGTGATGTCTCGACTCGCCCATCACAAAACTTCATCAAGCAACGATTCCGGCAAAACTCCATCCCACCGAGAAGCCGCCCACATGGTCAGAACCTCCGTGTGTGCTGGTACTGCTGGATGTAGCACGCGATCGATGGCTAGATCCATAGTCACAAGCCTGTACGCACGCGTGCCGAGTGTTGTATGATAACGTTGCTTAAACTCACGTACGTGCTGCGTGGAGAAGCCAGTGACGCCGACGCCATACATTGCTGTAGCACCAAACGCAGGTCGCAACATCGGCTGAATTGGCCCGCCAACCCTGCGAAGGTTGAGAAGTCATCTGGCGCGCTTGGTACCTCTTTCAGACGATCCTTCCTGACGCGCTGGACTACCACCCCCCGGATGGCCGCACAATGTAATCAATGCCAAGATTCCGCGCCACACGTGGCATTAAGGCCTGTGGGAGATCTGGCGCACGGGACACAACCTCTTCTGCCAGCTCAGGATCCGCAGTAAGGAGAAACAACTTCTTAGGATCCGAAGGCACAGGTAACCCACCAGCCCGGAGTGGCCGAATTAAGTCGGTAGCAGCCTTGGGGGCACATTCCAGCACAAAACGCAAGGTGTCAAGAACATTAAACTGAACATCATCAGCCACGATTCCAAAGAATGCGAGTGCATGTTTCTGAGCTATGTTGTCCAAGTCAAGGATCAGCCTAACTCTCATAAGCAAGCCAGCAATGCCACATCCAGCAACAGTAGTTTGCGTAGCCTGTGCCGTGCGCATTGGCATACCACCTACTGACACCAACCTAGGCCCACGATATAGCCCGATCAAGAAACGCAGCAAAACCAAAGTGAAGTCTAACTTGGTAGCCCTTTGCAAGTAGAACATGATGCAAAACATGCTCGAAGGCTTTAATGTCGAGGAGGAGACTGCAAGATACCCAGCCTCGTGCATGAGCAAGCTCAGAAAGGACAGCTTGCCGCCAGACACGGTGAATCGAAGGCCAGGTACTTCGAAAAGGTACGGATGATCATGTTCACGAGCATACTGCGACCCCCAAGACCGACGAAGTCACCTGGTGCAAGAGCGAACCGATGTCGAGAACACGGCAGCAGGTCGATCCCCAGACGCAGGCTTGGGGATGAGAGACAGTAAGATGTGGGCGAAAACTGGTGGCACAGAGCCCGTTCGCACTATGGCTCGCCATAACATCACAAGCACTTGGAGCGCTGAATCGGACAGCTGTGCAAGGTGCCAGGGGTGAATGTGGTCACAACCCACTGCCATGCGTTTCTTGTACTCTTTTGACATTTGTCGTAAGGTCGACGGAATTGGGAGGGCAAGCTGCTCCAACTGCTCGGGCGTAAACCAAAAAGTGTCTGAGGGGTCATATGCCATACCGACGCCCCAGACGCCATGCCAAAACTCATCACGGCAACGAACATGATGCTGCGGGGACCGATGGGGGCTTCTGAATCCAAGTCAGGGTCCACCTCGAAGAGTTGCCCAGACGGCTTCCCGCGGACAAACTTGTAAGCAGCTGCCGAACCCATTGACGCTTCGGCAAAAAACCCAATCACACCACTGCTCATGTCGACCCAACATGCAGGGGAGAAGGAGGAGGAGGAGGCGGAGGAGAAGGAGAAAGCGCCGAGGGCTCCAAAGGACGAAGAGAGACAGCCGCGTGCAGGGGGAGGGGTCGCCGCGGCAGAGAACCGAGGTAGAGGCGGAAGCGGGCGAGGTGCAGAGGAGGAGGAGGAGGAGGTGGAGGAGGAGGCGGAGGAGGCGGAGGAGGCGGAGGAGGAGGGACGACATAGAGCCGCGAGCAGGACGAGGCCGACGGGACTGAAGAGGAGCGCCGGCGCCGAAACGTTTGCGAACTGTTCAGGTGAATGCGCGCGGCGCTAAGGCGAGAGCCACATTTTGAAAACGAAAGAGGTAACCACATGTTGTAAACGAACCGCCCTCAATCCGTGAAGTCAACGCCACAAGGAGAGCCACAGTTCAAAGAACGCCTGTCATGCATCCGTGAAGGTCTTGCAAATGTGTCGAACGAACGCGCGCGGCGCTGAAGCGAAGGCCACAGTTTGAAAACGACCCGCCCCCCAACTGCGAAACTCTTGCGACATGTTAAACCGACTGTGCGCGGCGCTAAAATGGGAACCGCATTTTGAAACGAACCGCCCTCAATCCGTGAAGTTTTTGAAACTGCGCACGACTGCGCACAGAGCTTGAGCGAGATCGACAATTTAAAGACCAAGGACCCCCAATCCGTGAAGCTCGCGAGAGCCACATTTTGAAAACCACCTGTCACCCGCGAAACGTTTTTTGCAAATTGTTCAATCGAGTCTGCGCGGCGCTAAGGCGAGAGCCGCATTTTGAAAACGACCCGCCCTCCATCTGCGAAGCTGCTGCCAGCTTCGAAGCTTCAGTCTTATGAATGGCGAAGAAGTCTCAGGCAAAGCGCCTGGCCCGCACGTCCGATTGGCCTCGGGGTGCGACCAAAAGGAGTTATTCAGAAGGATCGGGAAACAGGAGGAGGAGGAGGAGTCCAACTCAGCTTTCCTGCTGGTCAAGACCGTTTGCGGCTGCTGGGAAAAAGTCTGGCTCGGGCTGGGGCCATACAAACATTGCTTTGACCCTGTCGTCAGTCCGTCTAGTGGGGCGGAGGAGGAGGAGTTGCTTGTGCATTCCCCACTGAACGCCCGCGGTCTCGACCTTCATACTCTGAGACCCCGCCACCCCGCGCGGGGCAATGAGCGAGAGCGAAAGCACTATAAATGAGGCATTACACCGTCGAAGAGGTCGTTGACACCCGCGAAGTCGAGGGAGCCCCCGAACGACCAGTCCAGGTTCGGCATGTTGCGACGGAGCCATTGACAGCAAGGGAAAAATTGCCGAACAACAAAAACAAGGCAACAAATTGCATGATGCCAGAAACACCGATGAGGAGGAAAGGGAAAAACATCGAGCGCAAGGCGCCCGCGCAATAAAAGAAGCGCCGCCGACCCGAAGAGACGTCGGAAAAGTGGAACAGCAGGATGATGACATTCATGAACAGCACGTGACCTGAACCTCTGTCTCCGTCAACCCGAAGATATATACGTCCAACACGGCCTAAGAACTCGCCCTCCGTGACCACACAGAACCTGTCGATCTACAGACTCAAGGGCCATCCATTCTGCTCGCATCGCTTCCTATGCTCGGGCAATCGTAGGGCCAGCAACCCACCGAATCACCCGAAAGAAAATGAAACTCTCGATGAAGAGGGCGAACCGCACCACGCTGCACTTCACAACGAAGCCCCCCCACCAGAAGCCGAGAAACAGCAGGTCCACGCGGAGGATGAGCCACAGCATGAAATCCGTGAGAAATGGCTGCCTCCAGCTCTGCCAGAGCACGTCGCACATGATCAAGACCACCCAACGCAGACGCGCTCGCTGGCGCACCCACCAAACTTGGACCATTGGGCTGAATATGAAAATCGCTACCGAGCGAACCAGCGCCAGCATCCAGAAAGCCGAGCGCCTGCAGCAACGTGTCGGTTGCAGTTTCTGCCGTACGAGTGAGACCACCGTGAGCTTCAGGAGAGAACATATCTCCACACTCAAACACCTTTTCATCCACAATCTCAATGTGTGCTTCCTCCGGAGGCTAAGCGCCGAGAAGCGCGCGACCATCCGTGCCAGGAACAGCTAGCGACGAGCAGGAGAACGCCGGTGCGTCGACGTTGTACGGGAACTGGGGATCTGCAGAAGACGTGCGCAACGTCGTGGACGTTCGGGCCGGCACGAGGAACTTCATGGATCGCCACCGTCTCCTTGCCAAGGGTCGTTACCGCCAGGTCCATTCCCCGGGCCAGGGCCACCACGCCGACACAGTCGAGAACCGCAGTGGCCACCACCAGGAACATCGTCGTGGGGGTCAGCAGGACCATCACCTCCACCATCAGCACCGTAGCCTCGAGGTGGGGCCAGCTCGGGAGCAAAAAGCCACAACCCAATCTCTTGGCGCCCATCGGAGTGTCGGTGTCCGCAATCAGCTGCCAAATGCGTCCGCAAGAAGCCCTCGATGCAGTTGAGGATGTGCAGCAGCCCGTCCCGATTGGTCGCGCTGATGGCAGGGCCCGTAGGATCCATGACGATATTCACCTTGAACCTCCCCTGCAATGATGCCGAGCCGAACGTGATGTGGGCGCAGACGCCTTGCAGGGTATGCCTCGGAACCCAGTGGAGCCGCCCCGCCAACACCATCGCTGCGAGGGGGGGGATAGGAGCAGTTGCCCCCATGAAGCTGCAGGGGCGGCAGGTCCCGGAGCCAAAAGCAGCTGAGGCGAAGGAGGAGGAGGAGGAGGAGGAGGAGGAGGAGGAAGAAGACGAAAAGGAGGGAACAGGAGGGAGCAGGAAGAGGAGAGGGAGTTCTGGGACCCGGCCGGTCCCGCCCAGCGACTGGGACGCCAGCGCGGTGCTGGCCCCGTTGGCGGCGATGTCCCCGAGGAGCACGGAGAGCCCGCCGCCCAGGGCCCACCGGACCGCCTCGCGGCCGCGGCCAGTGCTGAGTGGGCCCCTCCCCCAAGGCGGGGGGGCAGGAGCAGCCACCGGATACGGCTGAGTGTGTGTGATTTTGAAATAACAAAAAAAAAGGGGGAATATGGGGGCGGACCGTGTGGTGGTGTGGTGAATCGTCTGGCCAACTCCACCACCAGAATCATCACCACCCGAGGTGAGGGGGGCGAGGTGTGAGCGACGGTTGTGGGTTGTGGGGGCCCCACTTCCACACAATGGGACGCACAAGGACACACTAGTACTATGTGTCATCCTCGGAGGTGCCCGTCCGACCCGAACAAATAGTCCAACAGTATTGTAATATACCGTTTCCCGAGCAGCACGGCCAGAAGGGTACCGCCACGACGCATATGCTGTAAGATCTCTCGGCGCGCGCGTCGCCCCTGGGGGGGGCGAACGCACACACAAACACACACACACACACACATAGTCGCATTCTGTTGGGGTGGCGCCGACACACCACTCCCACCCCTCACATCCACCCCGCTCAACCACGCCACCCTGGCCCACGCCAGCCTCACCCACACCACAAGCCAGGAGGGCAGGAGCACCCCCCTCGCTGTCGTTGGAGAGAGAGAGAGAGAGAGAAACCACGGCGAGAGGCCTCTGCTCGTCCTCCTCGGCCTCCCGGGCGGGGGCCCCTCGCCGCGCCCCCCGGAAACCAGGAGGAGCTAGCGGGCCCAAAAGACCTCAAATGCGGCTACCAGCGGGCCCGGGAGACACACATCACACGCGCTCAACCGCGGCCACCAGCGGGCCCAAGAGACACGCCTCACACGCGCTCAAAATCGGCCATCAGTGGGCCCAGGAGACGCGCCTCACGCGCGCTCAACCGCGGCCACCAGTGGGCCCAAGAGACACGCCTCACACGCGCTCAAAAGCGGCCACTAGTGGGCCCAGGAGACACGCATCACACGCGCTCAAACGCAGCCACCAGTGGGCCCAGGAGACGCGCCTCACACGCGCTCAAATGCGGCCACCAGTTGGCCCAGGAGACGCGCCTCACGCGCTCAACCGCGGCCACTAGCGGGCCCAACAGACACGTCCCACACGCGCGTAAATGCGGCCACCAGTGGCCCCAGTAGGCACGCCTCACACGCGCTCAACCGCGGCCACCAGCGGGCCCAAGAGAAACGCCTCACACGCGCTCAAATGCGGCCACCAGTGGGCCCAGCAGACGCGCCTCACACGCGCTCAACCGCGGCCACCAGTGGGCCCAAAAGACACGCATTACACGCGCTGAAACGCGGCCACCAGTGGGCCCAGGAAACACGACTCACACGCGCTAAACCGCGACCACCAGTGGGCCCAAGAGACAGGCCCCACACGCGCTCAAATGCGGCCACCAGCGGGCCCGGGAGACGCGCCTCACGCGCTCAACCGCGGCCACTAGCGGGCCCAACAGACACGTCCCACACGCGCGTAAATGCGGCCACCAGTGGGCCCAGTAGACACGCCTCACACGCGCTCAACCGCGGCCGCCAGAGGGCCCAAGAGACACGCCTCACACGCGCTCAACTGCGGCCACCTGTGGGCCCAAGAGACACGCCTCACACGCGCTCGACCGCGGCCACCAGTGGGCCCAAGAGACACGCCTCACACGCGCTCAAATGTGGCCACCAGCGGGCCCAGGAGACACGCCTCATGCGCGCGCAGACCCGGCCACCAGCGGGCTCAGGAGGCACGCCTCACACGTGCTCAGATGTGGCCACCCATGAGCGCGGACAGCCACGCACGCGCACACGCGCGTCCACCTTTGGGCCCAAGAGACACGCCTCACACGCGCTCAAACGTGGTCACCAGTGGGCCCATGCAACACGCCCCACACATGCGCGAAAAAAACTGCCAGCAAGGGGCATAAGACGCACGCCGCACACGTGCACAAACGCGTTGGACAAGCGCGCGGTGACGCCCGCACGCACGGCCACGGTGGAATGGCCCAAAAGCCGCACCGCAGGTGCCCCTCGCCGAACGTGGCGGGACACCCCCCCCAACCGAGCGCGCGCGGCGCCCCTCCCAACCCTGGGCGGCGCACGCGCCCCCTCGCGCGCTCGCGCATGCAAAAAAGGGCGGACTGCGCGACGCCTCGCGCCCATCGCTTGGGCTCGCGTCGCCCCGCGCCGCTGCGCGTCGCGCGGCGCCCCCTCCCTTTCGCCCAAGCATGGGGCCTGAGGTGGGGGCGCCCGCCCCGATCAACGTTGCACGATGATCGCCCGCAACAAAAGCTGTGGTCTACAGGCTTTCTGGTAGATTCCATATTATACCCATATGGGCAAAATATGTATCACTTTGACGAGGAGGTGTTGCGCGAGCCGGTGTCTCTGCTCAAAACCGACTCGGGACTACAAACTCTTCAGGGATGTTTTCGCTTG